CATGCTGGGCGTGCCGCCACGCTGTTCTCGAAGAAACAAGACGGCATAAACATGAACTTGTGGCGCTCCGCGCGGGTTTCTTGGATCCGCGCTGGGCCCCCCCAGCGGCGCCTCCCGCGCCGCCCCTGGCGCGCTCCGCACGCCAGGGAGGGACTTCCAGCCCAGATCCAAGAAACCCGCGCGGAGCGCCAAACAGTTTATGTCGATGCCGTTGATTTCTAGTCATGAGTGATCCACGCTGGGCGTGCCGCCACGCTGTTGTCGCGCTCATACTGTCCTGGGCGTTTCCGAGCTGTGCACGCACGATGCCCTGCCGACTGGGCCGGAGTAGACGGGCTCGGAGGTTTCGCCGCATCGACAAGGCATCGGCCACGCTGCGCGATCTGGAGCCCGATGTTCTCCATCCCGACGTCGTTGATGCATCGGCGATTCCGAGCGATCCTCTAGCCCGATAGCTCTGACCCCATTTGGATGGCCTCCAGTGCAGTATATCAAGATGAAAGAGTGCCTAGCGTGGACCTCGGGTCATTCAGCGTGATGTTTCGAGTCTCGTATGCCCACCCAGGTACCCCTGAAATCAACGGCCGCTGTCTCCTGCTATTCTGCGTGGTCGACGCGGTCTGTGAGAGGAGGCGGAGGAGGGGGAGGACGACGAAACGGCATCGGTGGTGCGCAAAAGGAGGCATGGCGAAGATAGCGTCCTTGGTAAGAAGGCGCTATGTGCTTGTTTGCTTGTAAGCAGCCTCTCAGAGGTCAGGCCCCTTCGACGAGCCACCCTGCCTTCTCAGAAGCCCACCCCCTCTTTCCGCACAGCCGAGATGATGACGAGTGCGGGCTCGCGCCCGCGGTGTATCTGTCCAGTGCATCGTGCAGCCGATCGGCAGCATCATGCGCAGAGAGTGCGCGTCTCTCTCTCAGTTGTTCGGCGCAGAGACATGCGACACATCTCGCGCACAGTCAATTCGCGTGGAAGCCACCTCTGCAGTGCACTGCTCCAGCCCCCGATCTCCTGCCGTCGCCTCCCAAGGTTCCCTCTCTCCTCCCTCCTTTTCCGATGCTCGTGTCCTCCTCCTCTTCCCCCCTCGTTCTCCTTTCCACCGCGCTGGCCCGAGCTCAGTGGGGCCCCTGCTCGCTGCGGGCCCATGCCCCCGCAGCTGTGATACGGCGAGGCTGCGTGCGTGGTGTGGCCTTCTGCTCGCTGCGCTCTTCTGTTGGAGGGCCTCTTCTTGGGGGACTTCGGGGGGGAGTCCTGGGGACCCAGACATGCCGCCTAGTGAAACACAGCACGACGGGCGGTTTTTGTTAGGTTTTCGGCCTCAGGGGTCCCTCACCGGGCCCCGGGATCGTCAAACGACGACTCGGGATGAGAACCCAGCCCAGTGGCCAGGTCGGCGGCGCAGTGAGAGGGGGCAGGCATTTTCAGAAGTCGGTGCAAACCGTCTGGGATTTCCTGGGGCACCGAATTCAAAAACAGGGCATCGCATTTCTGGGGAGGGTGTTTCTTGCTGTCTTGGAGCCATCATGTGCGGGAGTTGTCCAGGGAGCCTGGCTTGGCGTCCCCTCTGGTTTTTCTTTGTTGTTTTGTGTCCGTTCTTGCTACACACGAGCCGTCCAGAAAGGGTATCGCTCTTGAGGATTAGATGAGTTGGCATCTTTTCCGCGGCGGAAGTCGGCGGAAGGTGGGCGGATGACAGCGGAAGTAGAACGAGGGCGGCTTTGGCGGAAGGCCCGCGGAAGCCAGCAGACGATCGAGGTCGGTTCGGGGAGGATGCCCTATTGTTCTTCGTGTTTGTTTGATTTCCTTGTGCATCCTAGGGGAGGGTACCCTCGAGAGCTCTTCGTATTTGGCCGGTGGAGGGCCTCGTGTTCTTGACAGATGTTACCCTGTCCTAGGTCCGACCGTAAAAGTCGGGATCCCGCGAGGTGTGTGTGTGTGTGCCCCAGTGTGTATGTGTGTGTGAGAGAGAGAGAGAGAGAGAAAGAAAAAAAAATAAAATAAAAAAAGTTCGATCGGTTTTTGCACCGAACCGCCCAAAACAGATGCCCCCCAGCCGCAGGCAGCTTCCGATATTGCAGTTGCCGCTAGGTGGGGCATGCGGGGGGCATCTGTTTGCGGCAGCCCGGTGCGTCAACTGGACAGAGCTCATGCCCTCTCTCTCAGTACGGGACGTGAAAACGACCACAGCCACTGCTTTTCTTTTGTTGCCGCCTTCCGGCCAGCAGAAACAAAGCAGTGGTTGTGGTCATTTTCGTTGAGCTTGGCACCACGGAAATGACCATAACCACTGCTTCTTTTTCGGCCGGCTGGAAGGCGGCGCAAACAAGAAGCAGTGGCTGTGGTCATTTTCCCGTCCCGCACTCAGGGTCACCCCCTTTTGGTGGATCCCGAACGAGGTGCCCCTCCGAGAGATGCCAGCATGTTTGGACGCAGGACTTCGGGGATCCGCCACGTATCAGGAGGGAACAAAAGCACACACACAGACACAAGCAATCGTCGACTCCCCGGAAGATATGGGAAACTATGGGAAGTGTGGGGGGGGAAGCCAGAAACCCAGAAAAGATGGGAACATAAATGGGAAGACAGAAACCCAGATAAGATGGGAACATAAATGGGAAGCCAGAAACCCAGAAAATATTGGAAAATATGGGAAGTGGAAGGAGGGGGGACAGAAACCCAGAAAATATGGTGTGTCCCAGGGCCCCTTCCAGGGCCCCTTCCACGTAGGCGTCCGCGCCAGGAGCGCGGACACGAGAGGGGCGGCCGGCACGCGCCCCCGGCGCGCCCTCGTGGGCCGGGGGCCCCCGGCCTGCGAGGCATCCCTCTTGCCCGTCGGTCGTGGAGGGTACGTAGCTCCAGCCACGCGCAGAGCGGGGCGGGGCCTCCCTACAGGGGCGAATCGCCCAGGGGAGAGCAATGCATGTATTTCGGGTGTGCCGATGATCTGTGTCTTCGAAGACTTGGCATCGCTCGGCCGTGTGCCTTTTTTTCTCGGCGAGAACCATCGAGGACCATCCTGGACCATCGAGCAACAAAACACACGCGCGACATCGAAGAACGCACGGGAAATGGACGTCCGAGCGACGGCAATGAAAGGTCCCTGGGCGAGTACGTGCAATGCCCGCCCCTGGGCTACTCGCCCCCGTCGTCGCCCCCGATGCCCATGGGTCGTGGAACGTACGTGTCTTCGGCCACGCGCGGAGGGGGGCAGGGGGGGGGGGTCGAGCCGGGCGAAAGGGGGGGATTGGGAAAGGGGGGGTTACGAAATTTGCTGCATGCAGTTGGTTTCGGCTTCACCGAGGGGCCCATTCCTCGATACATGGTCGCCTCTGGCGCCGGGAGGCGCCGGGAAAATCAGCTACGGGAGCTGATTCTCAAACCCCCTTTTTGCTATCCCCCCCTTTCGCCCGACCTGAAAGGAGCGGGCCTTGTCTGCATTAAGGAAGGAAAAACCACCCGGACCGGACAAATAACGTTTACTAAACGGCCCTGGGCGTTCACTAAGCAGCTCTATACCCTGTTTGATTCCTTCTTTGGATGCGCTTGCTAAACGGCCTCACGTGTTGGGGTGGTCATTGTCGGGGGTCGGGGTGGATGTTCTGCCCTCTACTTTAGAAGCCGCCCCCCCCCTCCCCTCCCCCCCTCTGCGCGCCGCCAACGTGTTGCTTTCTGTTCAGATCCCAATCCAGGGCTGGACCTAAACGCTGTTTTGGCGATTTCGTGGGCCGTTTTCGTGTCGACTTCGTTTTGCGGTAGAGGTGGATTGAAGACAAAACGGTGGAAAACGAAAACAAAACGAAAACGAAAGACACCGTTTAGGTTCCGCCCGGTCCCAATTTGCTTCAGCCGTCTTCTTATTTCCGCGGGTCGAGCGGCGCTCCCTCGTCCCTTCTCTTCCAGGGGGCGGCGGAGGCCCGATCTGCTCCCAGCGCTTTCCTACTTCTCAGGAGGGGAAAAAACACACAGACACAATGAATCGTCGATTCCCCGGAAAATATGGAAAATATGGGAAGAGGGGGGGAAGGCAGAAGCCCAGAAAATATATGGACATATGCGGAATCCTGTGATTTGTGTCTTTTTGTTGTGTTTGTCCCAGGTCCCCTTCCATTTCGTGCTCCCGCCTGCTTCTTCCGGCGGACGGGTGTTTTCTATCGGGCCTGGGCCGGCCCGTTCTGCTGGACAGCTCCCGTGAGTGGCCCCGCGGTCAGGTCCTGCGTTCCGCGAGGGGATCGTCTTCGCCCCGGGGCCACCCACCGCGGGCCGGTCGCAGCCCAGGGGGTGCACGAGAACGTGGTGCCGGGCGGTCTCCAGGACGGCATCCATCCCAGAACGAGACGATTCCGAAGCTCATTGGTATGGTCGACCACAGGCGATCGTGCTCTTATTTGTTGCTCTGCCGACGGGCGCGGGCCCTCGCGCCCCCCCCCCCCCACCCCATGGAGTAGATGTTTGCTGTTGTTGGCGTCTGTTTCAAGCATGTGGGGCCGCCCCTATAGGACGCACTGCTGCAAACAGTCGCATGAAGCAGAGGTTCGGAGCCAGACGCCCCCCCCCTCCCCCCCTTTCCGCCAGCTGGTGATTGTTTTCTTACTCGTTGTTTTGCCGATCGGCGTGGGCCCTCGCACCCCCCCACGAGGAGCAGATCTTGGCTGTTGTGGGCGATTGTTTCGAGCAGGTGGAGTAAGCGCAGATCTACGTCCATTCGGAGGTTGACAGACCTACCCTGACACGTCGATTCGTGAATTGGCCGTTTTCACTTCGCGAGGGGGCGTCGCGGCCCTTGTTGCAGGTCCAGGTCCGTCGGCTTCGGTCCTAGGCCGCTTGCACTGAATGGAACTCGACTGAAGGGAGGAGTCTCTCCACCGCCGATCCACACGGAGCAAGCCCACACGGAGTGCTCGGGCTCCGTCCGGCCTTGCTCCGCCCCTCCCCGAGGGCCCTCGAGCCTCGGGCTCCCGACAGTGCCCGGCCGCGAGCCCGGCCCCCCACCGCTCCATAGGCGATGCCGCCGGCGGCGGGCGCGCCCGCGGCGGCGGCGGGCCCTCGCGGCCTCCAGGCGAGGGCGGCGAGGGGGGGGGGGGGGGCGCGGCCCTGCGCCGCCGCCGCCGCCTCGCGGGGGGAGCCCGGGGGGCTCCGGGCTCCCAGGAGGCTGTTTTTGCCAGGGTCGGGCGATAACACGGGTGATCGGGCTTGCCCCCCCCCCCCGTCCGTCCCCCCCTCCCCAGGATAGCCTCTAACTCTAGCCTTGCCGGTTGTGCAGGTCCGCGGGAGGGGGGGCGCGGGCATGTGCAGGGCTGCCCACAGTGCGGGGGTTAGGTTATCGGCCGGCCCCCTCCCCCCCTCTGGGATAACCTGGGTTATCGCCGATTCAAAAAAACTGTCTCCAGATGGAGTCGAAGGATCGCGCCGCGTCGGCGCTTCTCGGGAGGATCGGAGCGGGTGCGGGAAGGAGGGGTGCGATGCCCAGCAGCAGTGCCTGTTCGTTTTGAGCAGGGCTCGCTGTCCGCGCCGCCGCGGACGCTGTTCTTTGGAAACCAAAAGCCGCCTGTCCAACAGCGCACGTTGTCGGTTTTGGGTTTTGGGCAACATGTGTTGTTGGGCATTGTACTACCTTTTTCCGTGCACATTTCGGGCGTCCAGCGATGCATCGGCGATGAGGCTCGATGTGGAGCTCGAGGTTCTCCACGCCAGCCTCGCCCATGTATCGGCGATGCGGTGCATGGTGGAAGACGATCAACGGAGATAAGGTATATTGCCAAATGACTCCCAGGCGTCCAACACATGTTCAAGCCAGATTCCAAGCATAACTTCAAAACGTATTCAAGTCAATCAATTTTACTTTCAACTCGATGATGCAGTCGACCCGCACGGTAAGGACGGGCAACCTTCCCAAGAGCACCTTTGCATCTTTCCCTCCTCGGTCCATCCTTGGCCACTTTCGTTGGCCGCGCCCCGCTCGAAAAGCTTCGAGGTGGCCTTCCAAGGCCCTTGCATCCGAATCGTGCGTCCTTATGATACGGGCCGACTGTAGGACGGTTCCAGTGTCTATTGCCATGGCCTCCACACGCCGCGCAAATCTCCCGACCCCATCTCAAGTCGGGCATGTGCCTCTACAGGAGGAATATTCAAACACAGTCCCAAGATCGTATGGGGACGATTTGTCCATATTATTTCTGGCTACTCCTGAAAATTTCTTGGCCACATGTTGGCTTCCGCGTACAATCCGCATGTAGAAGGACATGCCCGACCCAAATCCAGTCTGACCCTGTCTAGGTCTAGGAGGCCTCCACGGGGGGGGAGGGGAGGAAATGAACGGGGCCCCGGGCCTGCAACCGCCGCCGCCTCGCAGGGAAGGCACGAGGGGCAGGATGGAGGAGGGGGGTCGGGCACCTGCCCGGGCGGGGCCCACTTCGACTTTTTTTCCCCCGCGTCGATTCGATGCGATTCCGACGGCTTCTGATCCCGATTCGATCCGCTCTCGGACTCCAGCGTGGCTTCGATTTCGCAGTGGAGGCCCTATACTCGCCTGCTGGTTGCCGCCGACCCGACTCCTCCCGACACGGCTGCCGATTTCCGCCGATCCCATGTATTTCGATCGCCGATCCGACTACCAAGTCGATCTTGGGCTCTCCTGTCCATCAGTCGTCGAACGCAGGTACGGCCGGCCCAAGGTATAAGATCGAGGTCGGTTCGGGGAGGGTACCCTCATGTTCGTCGTGCCTGTTGGGTGATCTTATGCATCACAGGGGAGGTACCCTCGAGTGATCTCGTGGTTTGGGCTGTTTTGGTCGGCGGAGGGTCTCGTGCTCTTGAGGGGTGTTCTCCTCCCCTAGATCCGACCGTACCCAGATATTGAGTAGGGAATCGACTACACCATTGATGTACCCCAGAACTGATCTGTTCGTCGAATCTACGAAACACGCGAAATGCCCCGTAGATCTATGCACCAAGTCCACACATTTCCCGCACACTCGAGGAGGACATCAAATTCGGGGGTACATCAATTTTGGAGTCGATCCCCCAACGCGAAGACTTGCCCACGTCGTGGCGAGTTTTCCCGAAGGGAGGTGTTTTTGTTGTTCTCCGGCGGGCCGTCCTCGGCCTCCACGGGCCCTCCCCGCGCGCCCCCGGGGGGAACGTCCGCAAGAAGAGGCCCCCGAGGCTCGGGGGCGGCCACAGAGGCTCCCGAGGCTTGGGGGGCGGTGGACCAGGGTTAGGTCGAGCGCGTCGATCGTCTTCACCCTGTGGAGGCAACCCCCTGTGTTGGTGTTGGTGCCAATTTCCATTCCAGGCCCCCAACTACATGCGCTGCCCGTGGCGGGCTGTTTCGTGTTTCCATCCCAGGATTTCTCCTGGCGCCAACATCGCAGCGCGGATTTCGCTCGGAAACCGATATGTTGGGCCCAGAGTGTCCTGGAGAATTTCGTTGCGGATTTCGAGGTGAAGTTCGTGCGGATTTTTTGTTGGCCAGGAATGAAGGCCAAAAAAGAATGCACGCGAAATTCACTTCGTTTTTCGCTCGCCGCTTCGGCCAAAAATCCACGTGGAAATCCACGCAGCAATCCGCTGCAGCACGTCTGCAAGGCCAGTGCAATGAGACTTTCTTGAGGCTCGGGGACGACGTCGGGGTGGTGTGGTGCATACTTTTTGTCTCCGCGCTGTCGGGGAAGCAGCGAAAAGTGTATACACCTGTGAGTGCCACCAGCACAACTGCGAAACAACGGAGGGCCGGAGGACTTCCGAGCCTTTTGAGAAGGCTTTCGCCAGGGCTGGACCTAAACGCTGTTTTGTTGGACTTCGGCTGTGTTCTGTCTTTCGTTTTGACAGGGAGGTACAGGGAACCAGGTAGAGCAACACGAATGACGGATCGAAAGCAGAACGAAGAACAGTCTTTAGGTCCAGCCCCGGCCTTCGCCTCCTCTTTCTCCTCCCCTCGCTCGCCGCCGCCAAGGGTCGGCATGTCCCCCGTGACCCCCCTCTGCTACAGTGGGGGCGCGCATCAAGAAACCATATGCTTTCGTCCGGGAATCCTGGGTTTCTTCGCTCCTCGCGCTGCGCGGTGACTTCCCGTAGCCGTTGAAGTATCTGCTGCATTCAGGGTGCTCCAGGTTTCCCCCCAGGTGCACCTCGCGCACGGATTCTCAGGGTTGGGTTTCTTGCGAGGGTGTTTCTTGCGGCTGCGCCCGCACTGTACACTCCCCTCCCCTCGCCCCCGCTGGGCAGCACCTGGGGTCAGGCAGCTGCGAGGCGGCCTGGCTCGCCCGCAGGCCCACCAGAGAACGTCCTGAGAGCCGCCCGTGGTCTGCACGGGAGGCTCTCAGAACATGCCCGGCCGATATATTGTCTTGTTCTAGCACGCCAGGCTTATGTGCTGAGAACACCGTCGGGGCTCAAGAGACGGGGGTCAATGCAAACGGGGGTCAGCCAGAGCGCCAGATTTTGCAGAATCCTGCAGGGCCAGGGTCGCATTGACCGGGGTTTGGGTGCAGGTCCTGCAGGATCCTGCAAAATCTTGCAGGATCCTTCGCATTGACCCGGGTTTGGGCGCAGGATCTTGCAGGATTTTGCAGGATTATGCAAGGGTTGATTGACCTGGGTCTTGATTGACCCGGGTCAGAAGATCCCCGACACCGTCGTTGTTCTTAGAACTCCTCTTGAGGTTCTGAGACCATGTCGTGGCATGCCCACAGGAACGCCTGGACGGCGCGTCCCTGCTCGACATGGGGGGCAAGAGGCGCCGCCGTCCGCCAGCGTGTCGAGCAAAGCGCCTGGAGGTGGGGCCGAAGCCGGCCCCATGCAGCAGACTTCGCGACACTCCCCTCCCCACCGACTGCGCCCCCTCTCGCCCGACCTGCACCTTGTGGCGACGGGAGGGCCACAGCAAGAGGGCCCTCGAGAGAGGAGCGAGGGCCGACCTGTCCCCCGCTCACACGCCCCCGCGCAACTCCCTTTGCGTCAAAACAAACAAGTAGTGTTCGAGTTGTCGAGTTTTCGAGCTGCTGCCCCAGGAAGCGTTCTTGTCTCATTGGGAGCACTCTCGTGCGTGCAGGCAGCTCTCTACGAGGCCCCTGCTGCTCCCCTCCCGCGCCCCCGCTGGGCAGCGGCGCCCCCTGGGCGGGGAGGGCGCACGAGGCGTCGCCGCTCGCGGCCCCGCCGCTCCCGGCGCGCAGCGCGGCCTCCGCGCCGGGCTGCCGCGTGCAGGCCGGGGGCGCCCTCCCCGCCCTCCCCTCGTTTGGACGCCCGACACGGGTACCGAAAAAATGGGTACGATGCCTAACAACAAATGTTGTCCCAAACCAACAGCGGCCGCTGTTGGGCGGGCGGCCTCCTGTCTCCAATGTGCACAGGCCGCGGCGGCGTGGACAGCGAGTCCTGTTCAAAATGAACAGGAACCGCTGTTGGGCATTGTACCCATCCTTTCCGTGCCCATTTCTGGCGTCCAAACCTCGGGCCAGACGAACGGGGGGGATTGGGAAAGGGGGGGTGCAAGATTTGCTGCATGCAGCTGGTTTCGGCCCCGCCGAGGGGCCCATTCCTCGATGCATGGGCGCCTCCGGGCGCCGGGAGGCGCCAGGCAGATCCGCTACGTGAGCTGATTCTCAAACCCCCCCTTTGCTATCACCCACTTTCGCCCGGCCCGATCCCCCCGCTCGCCCCCCGCGCCCGCTCTCCGAGGTTCGAGGCAGGGCTGGGCCGAACCGGTGCTCTGGCGATCTCGTGGGCCGTTGTCGTTTCGACATCGTTTTGCGGTCGGGGCGGATGGGGGGAAAAAAACGAGGAGAAACGCAGGCACAACGAAAACGAACACACCGTTTAGGTTCAGCTCTGGAGCCCGTTTCTTTATTGCTTGGGGCATGCCGGGCGTCATGGCCCCCGCCCCCCCCTATGACGTAACGCTCCCCCCTCCAGTGCGCTCCGGGCACTGCCCCCCAGTGCGCTCCGAGCACTGCCGCTTTGCGCATTTGGCTCCGCGTAGGTGTCCGCGTAGGAATCCGCACAGGTGTCTGGTCTGCAGTCGTCGTCGTCGTCGTCGTCGTCGTCGCTCGTGGCTTGTCGCTCGTCGCTCATAGTCGTCGTGCGCGCGGACGCGGCTGAAGCCTGTTTTTTTTCCCAAACATCCTGTGGTGTTGGGTCCTCGTTTTGAAGAAACGGTCCCCGCGTCCTCCTCTCCTGTCCTCTCCTCTCCTCTCCTCTCCTCTCCTCTTCCCCCTCCTCCCTCCTCCCCCTCTTCCTTGCGCTTCACCCACCCAGTACGGCGCTTCGTAGCCCCATAGGGAGCTCCGCCGAAGGCTCCAGTGCTGCCGCCCGCATGCGTCACCCACACCCAATTCGGCACACCCCTCACACGTTTCGTGGGCCCATAGGAGCTCCGCCGAAGGCCCCAGTGTTGCCGCCCGCATGCGTCACCCACACCCAATTCGGCACACCCCTCACACGTTTCGTGGCCCCAATGGGAGCTCCGCCGAAGGCCCCAGTGCTGCCGCCCGCAGGCGTCGCCCGCACCCAATTCGGCACACCCCTCACACGTTTCGTGGCCCCATAGGAGCTCCGCCGAAGGCCCCAGTGCTGCCGCCCGCATGCGTCACGCACATTCGGCACACCCCTCACACGCTTCGTGGCCCCATAGGAGCTCCGCCGAAGGCCCCAGTGCTGCCGCCCGCATGCGTCACCCACACCCAATTCGGCACACCCCTCACACGTTTCGTGGCCCCATAGGAGCTCCGCCGAAGGCCCCAGTGCTGCCGCCCGCATGCGTCACCCACACCAATTCGGCACACCCCTCACACGTTTCGTGGCCCCATAGGAGCTCCGCCGAAGGCCCCAGTGCTGCCGCCCGCATGCGTCACCCGCACACAATTCGGCACACCCCTCACACGTTTCGTGGCCACATAGGAGCTCCGCCGAAGGCCCTAGTGCTGCCGCCCGCATGCGTCACCCACACCGAATTCGGCACACCCCTCACACGTTTCGTGGCCCTATTGGAGCTCCGCCGAAGGCCCAGTGCTGCGCCCGCATGCGCACACCCCACACGTTTCGTGGCCCCATGGGGAGCTCCGCCGAAGGCCCCAGTGCTGCCGCCCGCATGCGTCACCCACACCCAATTCGGCACACCCCTCACACGTTTCGTGGCCCCATAGGGAGCTCCGCCGAAGGCCCCAGTGCTGCCGCCCGCATGCGTCACGCACACCCAATTCGGCACACCCCTCACACGCTTCGTGGCCCCATAGGGAGCTCCGCCGAAGGCCCCAGTGCTGCCGCCCGCATGCGTCACCCACACCCAATTCGGCACACCCCTCACACGTTTCGTGGCCCCATGGGGAGCTCCGCCGAAGGCCCCAGTGTTGCCGCCCGCATGCGTCACGCACACCCAATTCAGCACACCCCTCACACGTTTCGTGGCCCCAATGGAAGCTCCGCCGAAGGCCCCAGTGCTGCCGCCCGCAGGCGTCGCCCGCACCCAATTCGGCACACCCCTCACACGTTTCGTGGCCCCATAGGGAGCTCCGCCGAAGGCCCCAGTGCTGCCGCCCGCATGCGTCACGCAATTCGGCACCCCCCTCACACTTTTTGTGGCCCCACAGGGGGCTCCGCCGAAGGCCCCAGTGCTGCCGCCCGCTTGCGTCCCGCACACCAATTTCGGCACACCCCTTACACGCTTCGTGGCCCCATAGGGAACTCTACCGAAGGCCCCAATGTTGCCGCCCGCATGCGTCACGCACACCCAATTCGGCACACCCCTCACACGTTTCGTGGCCCCATGGGGAGCTCCGCCAAAGGCCCTAGTGCTACCGCCCGCATGCGTCCCGCACACTCATGTCGGCACACCCCTCGCACGTTTCGTGGCCCCATAGGGAGCTCAACCGAAGGCCCCAGAGTGCTGCCGCCCGCATGCGTCCCGCACACCCATTTCGGCACACCCCTCACACGTTTCGTGGCCCCATAGGGAATGCGTCCCGCACACCCATTTCGGCATACCCTTCACACGTTTCGTGGCCCCATAGGGAGCTCCACCGAAGGCCCCAGTGGGTGTGCCCGCATGCGTCCCGCACATCCATTTCGGCACACCCCTCACGCGTTTCGTGACCCCTCACACGTTTCGTGGTCCCATGGAGCTCCACCGAAGGCCCCAATGGGTGTGCCCGCATGCGTCCCGCACACTCATTTTGGCACACCCCTCACACGTTTCGTGGCCCCGTAGGGAGCTTAGCCGAAGGTCCCAGTGCTGCCGCCCGCACGCGTCCCGCACAGCCATTTCGGCATACCCTTCATACGTTTTGTGGTCCCAAAGGGAGCTCCGCCGAAGGCCCCAGTGGGTGTGCCCGCATGCGTCCCGCACACTCATTTCGGCACACCCCTCGCGAGTTTCGTGACCCCTCACACGTTTTGTGGTCCCATAGGGAGCTCCACCGAAGGCCCCAGTGGGTGTGCCCGCATGCGTCCCGCACACCCATTTCGGCACACCCCTCGTACGTTTCGTGGCCCCGTAGGGGGCTCCACCGAAGAAGATATTCACAACTGTGGTACTCACAATTGCACATGGTTGGGTCCTTCGCCAGGATAATTTTTATTCTGGGCCGGTGACGGCAACCATCTAGGGGGGATGGAGGGGGTCGATGACGTCAAATTTCGCGCCGGCGGCGCTTGGGAATGCTTAGGAATGACGGAGGACGGGTAGCGCCAGCATGTAGGTGGCGTTTTGCACCACAACGCCTTTGTACACCACAGTGCCTGCGTGCACCGCAGCGCCTGTGTACACCACCGCCTATGTACACCACAGCAGCCGCGTGCAACACAGCGTCAGTTTGTGCCAGCGTTCCTGCGGGCACAGCAGCTGTTGTGCACACCGCAGCGGTTGCGTTCATCATATCAGCCGTGTGCAACACAGCACCAGTATACACCACAATGCTTGCGTGCATTGCAGTGCCTGTGTACACCACGGCGCCTGTGCGCACCACAGCAAGCGTGTGCAACACAGCACCATTGTTGTATATAGAATGTGAGAACGAATCCTTATGACACAGTGGAGCGTTTATGGGTTCCACAGAACAGTGTAAACTAATCATTATGGACAACGGATCCCCGCTGGAATCTACGTGTCTTCCCGAGTCCGCCCACATCAGCCTAACTCGTCCTTTTTCGTCCAGGACGTTCCAGCTTAACTGGCCGTCCGAGAACCAAGTGGACCGATTCAATAGACCATTCTGCGGTGTTCGCTGACATGCGCACGTGCGCTGTAGCGCCAACCCGCACGTCAGGGGGTAAGGAGGAGGAGGAGGAGGAGGAGGAGGAGGAGGAGGAGGACGAGGAGGACGAGGAGGACGAGGAGGGAGGAGGGAAAAACGCCGCATTCGATTATCAGCAACTTCTTGGCGTGGCGTCTAGTATTCCGCAGCAGATCCTCACGAACATGCTCCTTCTACCTGTCCCGTGCACGCAGGCATTGTGGTGTACACCAGCGCTGCGTTGCACGCGGATGTTGTGGTGTAGATACGCGTTGTGGCGTGCACAGGCGCTGCGGTGCACGCAAGCATTGTGGTGTACACAGGCTCTGTGTTGCACATGGTAGCTGCGGTGTACAAGTGTACGCCGGCGCTGTAGTGTACGCAAGCACTGTGGTGTACACAGGCGCTGCGTTGCACACGGTTGTTGCGGTGTACGCAGGCGCTGTGGTATACATGCGCGCTGTGGTGCACGCGCGCGTTGTGGTGTACACGGGCGTAGTGGGGCAGATCGCCACCTACATGCTGCTCGCGTCGTCGACGTCGTCGTGATCGTCATCGTCATCGTCGTGGTCGTCGTTGTCGTCGACGTCGTCGTCGTCGCTCGTCGTTCGTCGCGTCGCGCGCGCGGGCGCGGCTGCGGTGCCGGAACCACACGGCGGGGGGGGGGGCGTTACGTCATACCCCCCCCCCTCGCCCCCCCCCCCCCCCCACATGGCGCCCGTCATCGCCGAACATAAAGAAACGCGCTTCTGGTTCGACGAACAAAAGCGCCATGAACGTAGACTTTTGGCGCTCCGCGCGGATTTCTTGGACCTGCGCTGGGCACCAACGGCGGCGCCTCCGGCGCCGCCCCTGGCGCGCTCCGCGCGCCAGGGACGGGGGTCCGGCGCAGATCCAAGAAGTCCGCGCGGAGCGTCAAAAGTTTATGTTTATGGCGTATTGTTTTCCTGTAGAAGTGGTGGGGATTTGCAAACGACCACCGCGCGGGCCAGAGCTGTATCCACATCCAGTGCGTCTTGGACTTTTTTGGATGGGGCGCCACGAGGCCGAGGCGCACTGCACATGGATAAGCATCGCGCCTCCCAGGGGCAGACTTTCATCCATATATCCGGTGCACCTCGGGCTTCTGACGAGGGGAGCCCGCATCTCCAAGCTGCAGAGGATCTGGACAAGAGTATTCCCTGCACAACGCCTGGAGGATCGATTTTCGGAGGCCTCGACGGGCTGTGGGTATGGATAGATTTGGGCCCCCAGGGACCAGAACCAAAGGAGGAAAAACCTCCCGGACCCGACAACTGGCGTTTACTGAACGGCCCTGGGCGTTTACTGAACAGCCCTGCCCTGTTCGATTCCCTCTGTGGGTGCGTTTGCTAAACCGCTTCGCGTGTCGGGGTGATCATTCTGGTGGTGGATTTTCTTGTCTCTATGGAATATATTGAAGGTGCACACACAAATAACAGGATTCCCCATATTTCCCCATCTGTTCTGGGTTTTTGTCTTCCCCCCCACTTCCCATATTTTCCCACATGTTCTTTGGAATCGACGATCGATTGTGTCCCGGTGTTTTTGTTCCCTCCTGATATATCCATATCCACCGCCCGCTGGGGCACCAGCGATTGTCGGCTTCCCAGGCGGTGGGTGTGGATCAATCCGCCGCCCCGCACTCCCGTCCTCCAGCTGCTGGTCCCGTTCCTGCTGGCACAGCCTGGACCTCCAAGATGGGATCAGAGAAGGTTTGAGTCGGGCGTGTCCCTCTACAGGAGGAATATTGGAAAATGATCAGACAATAGAGAGGGGACGATGTTTTGACTATTCTTGAAGAGTCTGTTTGAATACTTCTGGACTATTTGCGATTTCCCTTTCCAGATCCGCCTGTCGGAGGACATGCCGCACCTACGAGTAGATGGGTCAGAGGATCGCGCCGCATCGTCGATGCATAGGCGATGCGGCCCGATGTGGTGCCCGACTTTTTTCCACGCCGGCGTCGGCATTGCGTTGGCGACCTTGCCGATCCGGCGATGCGGCGCTTTGCTCCGCCCCCATTGTCCTGGACCCCATGGAGGAGCCCTGTGCAGGGACCCCTCACTTCGTGAGAGCATCACGACACAAGGGTTATTTGTGGACATTTGTTTTGTGGTCGAGCTCCTGCTGTAATCGCCCACGCAGTCGAGTCTGATTAGCAGGTCGGCCCTGCAAAATCAAGGGGGCCCTTGTGTCCTGCGTTTCGCGACCCATGCCTTCTGCATTCCTATGGCAATGTGGCCCTCGGAAGGGCCTTGTCGTCTCTCGCGTGTCCTTTCCAATCATACTTGATGGTGCACCCTCGTCCTCGTCCTTTGCCGATGTAGGCTGGATAATGGGCGGACGCGTTGTGCTGAAGCACGCGGGTTGCCTGCTTTGTCTCCAGATCGCGGTGTGAATTGTGTGTTCTGTGTTGCAGCGTAAATTGGCAGCGCTGTGCCGAGCTGGCTACGCCACTTGGCAAACGGGTCCTGGTCTGTCACCTCCCAATGGTGTGGCTCCTCTCACCATCGTCTGAGGGACCGTTTTTCATCCCCTGGCGATCACGGGCGTGAGTGTGGAGGGGGTGGAGGGCAGGGGGGGAGGGGAAGGGGGGAGGGAGCTGGTCACATCACGATTCGCGCCGGCGCCGTCTGGGATCGCCTAGGACTGGCTGATTCCCAGACGACGCCATGCGAGGAGGGGCGGGGGCGGGGCCAGTCACTGGCGCAATCGCGAATCATATACAACAGGCTCCAAGCCATCCACTTCCCCTTTGGGCCATGGTTTCTCAGCCCCACCGGCCCACCCTCTTAGAGCCCCGTGAAACCCGAAAAAGAACCTACATATACACAGCCGTGGCAAAAGTTGTTTCAATTTGCTATGATGAAGATCTCCCCCATCCCTCTCAAGATTCCTAACATGACATGATGCTGGGATCATTCGGCGGAGTAGTTCCCGATCCTGGAGACGTTAATAACTCTGTTACCCCAAAGCGGGATCGGAAACTACTCCGCGCCAGACCATATAAATGATCGAGCGGGGTGCGATTGCGCGCGGAGTAGTTTTAGCAAAACTACTCCGAACTACTCCGCACGAGCGCGTCATTCCAAAAGGCAAATTGAAAGAATTGTTCGTCACGGCGGTGTATTCATGTATCCCGACCTAGGTGGCTACGGTGGCTTGTGGGGCCAAGGCCACGCCAGAGGGCAACGGGATACGTCAAACGATGCTCATCCCTCATCGGCCTCCTGAGGCAAGGCCTTGCTGGCGTGAGTGTCCTTGCGCTACCCATCAAGAGCGCGTGGACAGAGCTTAGCGCGTAAAGCCGTACACCTGGTGCGACCGGTGGACGTGTCCCTCCCGCGCCCAGGTCGCTGGGCGATCGGACGTGCCTTGCTCGTCCGATCGATCTGTCCCCGTCCATCAGTTTACGTGTCCTCTCCTAGGTATGGACTTATCCATCACCGCTGCTTGGGGGATCGATCTTCGGGAGTCTCGGCGGGCGTTGAATGTCGATATAGATTCGGGCCCTGGTATCCCCGGTCACCGCCCACCAAACCGCCCCAACCCAACCCGAAGGCTTCAATTTGCCCTCCATTTCCAGTGGCGGGGGGGGTCGGGGAACAATGAAAAAACACATGGAACCCGTACGACCCCCAACCCGAAATTGGGATCTTCGGGTTAGGTTGGGGTGGTCTGGTAGGTAGTCACGCAGGCGGTGGTGGTGGATACATCCCCGCCTTGCATCCCCACCGAGGGCGGAGGCGCGACCCCACCACCGCTCGCAGGCAATCTCCGACTGAGGATGCACACAGTGCTTCCCCGAGCTGGGAGTGGGGGGGGGTCCCTCGAGCGGGTCGCCGCGAAACTTCAGTCGGGCATGTCCCTCTACAGGAGGAACATTCAAAGATAGTCAACAGGATAGTCCGGGGGCGTTGTTTGCGATTATTGTTGACTGTTTTGGTATATGTTTGACTCTTTTTCGGTTTGTCCTCCAACGTCCGCCTGTGGGGAGACATGCCCCTAACGCAAACACAGGGGCCGCGCGACGACCCAGACATCCCCACGTCAGGTTTTGTTCACAACGTGGCTCCCCAGGTGTCGGACTCCTTTCGGCGGCACCCCAACATACATTAGTACTGCGCGCGCGTCGCCCCCCCCCCCCCCCCAAGAGGCGACGCGCGCAGCGAGGAGTCTTCTAGCATGTGCGTCGTGGTGGGCGCTCTCTGGCCACAGCGCTCAGGGAACGAAATGCTGCAAGATGGGTATACTACAGGTTTGGGTCGGACGCGCCCCTCCAGGGAGGACATACAATACAGTCGGGGCCCTGAAGAAGGAACCCTTTTCGTTGGGGAGGGGCTCCGCGTTCCTTAAGTGTTTCACATCTTGCCTCAGGCTTTCCTTAGGTTTTCGATACGAAATCGAAGGTTAACTTACGGAAAATAGGGGCCTCGTTCCTTATTTTGGGTTCCTTAGGTCAACGCATCGACTGTACTGGTGTGTCTCTGTGCGTCCTATGCCTCCCTGGAGAGACGCGCTTCTCATCCTGAGTTGGTTCTGCTGGCGGCTCTGAGGGCCCGTCGGGGCCCCGCCCGAGGCCGCAGCTCGCCCCAGCGCGGCCGCATCTATCCTCTCTCGGTGCGAGAAAGGCCAGGCTGCCGGGCACCCCCGTCGTTTTTCCCTTCGTCCTCGCCATCGTTCCCCCCCCCCTGAGATGCGACGTTGTGAGAACAGGGCGACATCGAAGAGTCGCGGCCAGGGCCCCAGGCTCCACCCCCTTCTGCAGCTCTTCTCGAGGCGGGTCGGCCCGTGAGGGCCTCGGGGCCCAAAAAAAAGGCCCGGCGTGAAGCGTAAGATTCGAGCGCGCGTAAGACTCGAGTATGGTGGGCCTGTTCTCCACCACCACCACCACCCTAACTAAGCTGGAGGGGGGAAGGATGAGGAGGAGGATGAGGAGAAGGACCCCCTCTTCCCTCCAATTTATGGTGGTGGTGGTGGTGGTGGTGGTGGTGGTGGTGGTGGTGGTGGTGGTGGTGGTGGTAAACAGGCCCAACAGAGTGAGCCGGAACTCGGGTTTGCCGAAACTTTTTGACGAGCGCGCCCTGGATTTTGACGGTCCAGTTTTCGTGGGATGTCCGCAGCGGGAGGCAGTGTCAAGTTGCAGATTGGGCCTCGTCATGTTTGTGATGGCCTCGTCAGGCCAACCCGAGTCCCCCGTACCCGAGTCTTGCGTCTCCCCGATTTCAGCCTTCGCCCTCGCCCCCCCACCCTCCCCTCCCCCGTCGCCACCCTCCCCGCCGTCGGCCTCCTCTGCCCCCCGCCCCTCGCGCCGCGAGGCAGGGAGGAGACTGGCGCACGCCTGCCGCCCGACGCACGCTGCCACAGCTGCCGCGGCCGCGGGGGGGGGGGGGAGCATCAGCCAGGCTTAAGTCGGGCCTGTCCCTCTACAGGAGGACAATTTTAAAATCGCAAATCAGGTCGCCTGGGGACGATGTTCCGCCTATTTTTGTTTATGGTTTGAGCCTGTGTTGACCATGTTTCATTTTCCGTCCAAAATCCGCCTGCAGGGGGACATGCCCGACCTAACGCCACGCCTGAGGATGAGGACGAAGCGTCGCTACGACGCCGTCGGCAGGTTCACTGGGGCCTATGTTTCAGTCTCGTGCCTGCCCAGATTATCATACATTTTTTGTCGTGCTGCCTCCTGTTTTCATGTGCGGCTGGTGGCTTGTGCACCGTTGCCCTCTCTGTTGCTTTGCGGCAGGGGTTTTTGTCGACAGCCCCGCCGAGCCGTGCCTTGCCGTGCTTGGTCTTTCTGAAAGCAAAAATGTGCCCTGGTTCTCTTCACAGTGAAAAATGTGCTGTGCCGTGCCGTGCTTGGTTTGCAGGCGCATCCTCGTCTTCCGATGTGCACCAGTGTGCCGTGTCGTGTTTCGTTTGCAAACCGCGGCAACTCCGCCAATGCCATGCCGTGCCGTGATCGGTCTGGCTGAGCGCGTGGCCTCCGCACACACTCTCTCTCTCTCTCTCTCTTTCTCTCTCTCTCTCTCTCTCTCTCTCTCTATATATATATATCAGGTTCTGGCAGTGCGCTGGACCTGCCTAGAGTTGCGATGCCTCCCGACGCCCTTCGCCCCTTCTTGCCAGGGTTGGGTCGGGGGACCTCCGGGAGAAGGCCCAGCCCGCAAGCGCCCGTGGTTCGGCCGAGAGCGTGGCCCACTCCTGCTGGGCAACGCTCCCGGGGGCCGAGACGTCGTGTCCCCTCCAAGGCAGCGGTGGCTAGGGTGACCGTGAGATTTCACGTGTGCGCTGGCACGCAAGGAGCACTGGAACGATGCAGGCCACGCCCTTCGCCCCCCCCACCCTTCCTCCCTTGCTTCCCCCACCTCCCCCTCGTGCCCCGTCCCTCCTTCCCGTCCCTCTCGGTTCCCTCGCCTCCTCCCCCCCCCTGCCCTTCCTCCCGCCCCTCCCCCTCTTCCCCCTCGCCTCCGCCCTCTGCCCCCCTCCCCCTCCCCTCACTCCCTCTCGGTCCTCTCTCCTCCCTGTCTCCTGCCGTTTCTGGCTCTTTGCGCCCTCGCTCTCTTCCAGGGTTCGATCCTTCTTTTCCCAGAGATCCAACGCCTTGAAAAAAACAAAGGCGCAGTGTTCTCGCAGTTTTCGACCGCTAGGGGCCCTTCGTTGGGCGCGGGGATGGTCAAGCAATGATGCAGGATAGCCGGTCCCGGGGAAGGGGTCGAGATTTCTGGGGACCCCGTATTTGCAAAATCACGACATCGGATCTCTGGGTTCCGTCGTACCCGCCTGCTGCCCAGACGCTCCCTGTACACGTCACGCGGGCCCGCGCGCGGTGAAGAGTGCGTGGGGCACCCGAAGTGTCGGTGTAATTTCGGCAACCAAGGTTTTTTTGCTCAGAGGCGCCATCTCGTGCACACTTGGGGCGGGGTGCGCAGTGGGCTTTTGTGGATGATTTGTTGCGTGCAGCTCCCAGTTTGCACCGCATGCGTCTGAGGCGGTCTCCCCAATGAGCGCCACCAGTGTGCACCAGTTGGCCCGGGCAGCCTGCCATCCATGGCCGTTCTGGTTTCGGCTGCGCGACTGGCTCAATCCGCGAAACATGCTGAAGCAGCGAGCAGGCAGGCACAGCCGTGTCGTGCCCCCTGCCCTGTCGCTTCTTGTTCCTCTCCCCTCTCCCCCCCCTCCGCCACCCCCCCGTCGACCTCCATTTTCCCCTCCCTGCCCCTCCCCTTCCCGTTCCCCCTTTCCCTGTCTTTCCGGCTTTCGGTTTCCATCTCCCCGCCCCATTTCAGGAGGGAAAAAACACACAGACACCATTAATCGTCGATTCCCCAGAAAGTATGGGAACAGATGGGAACTGGGGGGGAAGACGAAAACCCAGAAAATATTGGGAAATACGGGGGATCCTGTTATTTGTGTATTTTTGTTTGTGTGTGTCCTTGGGCCCCATTCGCCCTCCCCCCCTGCCTTTTCTCCCCTCCCCGCGCGAGCTCACAACCAGTTCTGGGTGGCCACGGGCCGCCCCGCGCTTCCCCTGCGGCGCTTCACGTGGCCGCGTCGGCGCCGGCGGGATCCCGCCGGGCGACGGCGGCGGCGCCGCGCGCCGCGCCGCGAGGGCAACGGCGCCGCTTTCCCCGCCGCGCGCTCGGCGACGACCCGCCTTCCTGGACGCCCGAAATGGGTACGGAAAGAATGGGTACGATGCCCAACAGCAGTTCTTGTTCATTTTGAACAGGACTCGCTGTCCACGCCGCCGCGGCCTGTGTCCATTTGAGACAGAAGGCCGCCTGCCCAACAGCGGCCGCTGACGGTTCGGGACAACATTTGCTGTTGGGCATTGTGCCCATTGTTTCCGTGCCCATTTCGGGTGTCCAAAGCCTTTTTTCCATGCGGCAGTCACGCCGTGGCTTCTGGTTCCGATCCCCCGCCGCGCGTCGTCTCGCACCCTCGACGCGTGGAGGATCCCGCCCACCGCGGGGCAGCGTTTTGTTTCTGCGCGTTTCTAGCGGGGCCTGATGGTGCCATCGAGCGCGCAGGAGACGTTGGCGTGCCGCCCCGCAGACGAGGCGAAAGAGCATCCTGGTGGTGCGAGCGCCGGCACTCGCGAGCGACAAACAGGCGCGACGAATGATGGGGTCGTCTCCTGGGCGCGCCGACGAACCTCAAGACGCGACTCGCGCTGACACGTGGGTCGCGCAAGTCAGTCACATCCGAACATGTTTCCACGCGCTTTATAAAACGTCTAGATCACCCGCCGATGCCGCCGTGGCGACAATTCGCGCTAGAGCCTTCCCCAAGCAGTGCCCGCGTCGTACCAGAAGACACGAATGGCGGTTGCCTCCCCTAAGGTGCAGTAGCGGTTATTTTAACTGCCAGTTTTTGGCGATTAAAAAAAACAGCTGGCTGTAAAAAAAACAGACATGCTGCGCGTATGGTATTTGTAGGAGTGCAGCTGCTTCTTCATGCTGCACACGTGTCAGTGTGTCATTCGTTGTCTACGTCGCCGCGTGCGATACTTGATGATAGAGAGATTATCATCACATGTGGGCTTAATATATCGTGAACATATTAAATAATACATTGTATCGCGCCTCATTGGTTAGCATATCGTGGTAAACGCACGGTGGGGGGAGGAGTGGGGAGGATATTGCAGGGAAGGATGAGGTTGTTATTGCTGCCTGTCGTGGTAAATGATGACGTGACGGATGAACGCCCACGTGGATCATGAGTCCCAGGCGTGGCGTGCCACGCCGATTTCTCGATGTTATTGGCTTCGGTTGTAGTTGCGGCGTTGGAACTGACGCCGCGGAGGCTCGAGTATGTCAATTATTGTGTGGGGAAACGTTCCCAGAGATCCGCTGCGGACAACCCAGGTCGGGCGAGCCATGTCGAGGGCGGCCAGCCAGGATGTTGGCGTGCTGGCGGAGACGATCGAGGAGTCTCAGCCTCCGCCTGAGGCGCCGCACACGCCCGATCTGCGTCGTCACGCTGGATCCCCGCCTCCAGATAGGCAGCTCGACCTGGACGACAGCCGCGGAAACGACGACATGGCGACCATTCCCTATGACGGGCGCGAGCTTCACGATGCAGGTCAGTCCCTGGTTGTCACAGCTGGCGGCCGTATGGAGGTGACCGAATCAGACGTGCCAGCCGAGCAGGGATCGCCCGTCAACATCGCTGGTGGGTGCCGCAGTGGCAAGGACATCGGTGTCGAGAGGTTGCATGCGGATGTCGGTGACGGGGCCAGCGAGAGTGAGTTGCATCGGCTCGGGGCAGAGAAGGGCACGCATTCATCTGTTCCAGGGTCGGCTCGGCATCAAGATGGCGACACTGCAGGTGGTGGGCTCTCGACGCCGCCGAGCAGGAAGGAGAGGATCAGGGACGAGATCAAACAGCTGGTCGATCGTCTCAGCATCCAGGCTGACTCTCAGGACGAGGGTTCAGTGGGCAAGGGGCTACGCGAGTTGTTGTCCAGCCAGGCGGTGCAAGAGGTCCTGCAGCTGAAGGCGACGCCGCCTCCCGCAGCCCGCAAGGATGACGATGACGACGGCTTCTTCGACGGCCCGATGGATTGGGATACCATCTGGAAGGGCATTCAGGACCAGCGGGTGCGTGACAAAGGGGAGGGGACAACGTCGGGTCACTGGCGGGTCAACGGCGGGTCAACGCTCAGCCCAGGACATTCGGCATGGCCGCTCGTTCACCCAACTTGGCTAGCTCAGCTCGGCGTAGTTCAGCACAACCCACCATGTTCCAGTCCAGCACAGCCCTGGTCGGCAGTTTGGCTAATCACATCAGTCCTGATCGGTCCATCACAGACCTCTCAGCCCAACTCAGTCCAGCTACGTGCACCCCGACGACGACGACGACGACGACGACGACGACGGTGGCCAGGAGAAGAACTTCCAGTTCAGCACCAAGGGGGTCAAAGGCAACCCGCTGGCAGGCAAGTGGCAGCGGGAGAAGGCGAAGGGCGGCCAGGTGGCCAAGGAGTACGCGCAGGCGGCCGCGATCTCCATGGAGGAGGCGCGCGAGTACCGCGCTGGCTGGGCCAAGGGCAAATACGAGAAGTACATGTCGAAGAAGAGCCACTCCAAGGTGCTGGACCATGAGTGGGTCAAGGAGATGAAGATGCTCACGATCGGGCGCATCGCCTGGAAGTATGGAGGGGGGGCCGAGGGATGGAGGGCGGCGACCACCCACGCCGCCAAGTGCATCCAGCTCGGCCCCCCTTCATGGATTACGACGAGTCGGCAGAGATATTGTTGATCCCCTTCATCGAGAAGACGTTCAAGGAGCGCTTCAGGGAGTCGTGGGCGGAGCACAAGACGTGGTTCAATGAGGCGGTGAAGATCGACGGCGACGAGGAGCGGCAACA